TGAGAAGTTGCTTTGTGCCAGGCCCCTGCCGAGCATTTTCCACATACAACTGTATTTAATTTGGCCAACAGCTCTGTGGTCAAGAACCATTCCTATTCCTATTTATAGTTGAGAAAGCTGCAAAGCAGACAAGATAAGACACTAGTCCTTTATCACACAATTAGTAAATGACCAAGATGGCTCTGAAACCCAAGTTCATCTGATGTCAAAGTCCACTTCACAATAGTATTTTTCCATTTCGGAACTCGCTCCGTTTTTGTCTTGTTTTGTTTTTGTTTTTTAGTGGACAAAGTATTATATTCTGGGTAGGAGAAAACGATTCAGAAGCCACTTAGTAATTTTTCCTGTGGCCTTTCCAATAGTGAATTCATCTCAATTTCCTTAATGAGGGTAAAGGGGGTCAAATACTTGTATATGGTGATGGAAGGAGAACTAGCTGACTCTGGGTGGTGAGCACACAATGTGATATATAGATGGTGTATTACAGAATTGTACACTTGAAACCTATGTGGTTTTACTATCTATTGTCACCCCAATCAGTTTTATTTGAAAAAAGAAAGAAAACAAAAAAAGAAAGACTTCAAACTTATAAAAATCCCAATAAAGTATAAAGCCAACAGCTAAGTCACACTGACAATATGAAAGTAAATGCCAAATGTCTTATCAAGCATCTAAGAGAGGCCTCAGAGAACTAAATTTAAATTCTGTTCAAATGGAGAGAAGGTCCAAGATGGCAGATTAGAATTAAAAACAAAAAAAATTCTGTTGAAATGGGTCATTTAGAAGTAGCCTCAAAATAAAATCCAACTCTTCAGGCGAAAAGGCCATTAACTCATTTAAAATATTAAAAGTTGGGCATTTTAAGTATATCGCCAAAGAATAGAATAGATACCTCATCCAGATTTATATTCTCTATATTCTCTTACCCACTTAACAGAGTAAAGAAGCACAAAATACTAATTCTTGGGTGGTCCACACCACATCTCAAAATAAGTTTTCTAACCCATATTTGCGAAAAGGCTCATGTTACTTATCAAACCTTCTTTGCTTCCTTTCCCCCCACTTGGCTTCCTTTTGGCCCAGGAGTCCGGTAGTGCCAAAGATAATACAGCTGAAGCTATGGCCCATTGTGGCTTCTGACTCACTGACCGCGTTAGGAGACTATTCGCCGGAGGCGCTTGCTCAGCCTGGGTTGTCTGTGAGCCCGTTTCCTCGCCCCGCGTGCTCTGCCTGCCCAGCTGCGGGGCCCATACCACTGGCTCTCCGAGCTTCCATCTGACGGGCCACCACTAACCCATACCACCTCTTGGTGGGCAAAGCATCACCCCGATGACATAAGGTTGAAAAGAACCACACAGAGGTGACAAAAGCTCCAGTGTCACCAGGTTAAAAGATTTAGTTTCCGAGTATTGGGGGTTAGGCCCACCCAAATACGTACTAAGTTTTGCATATGTGCTTGAGACATTCAAGTCTTAGCTGTAATGAGGGCCACTGAAATACTGTGCTAGGCACGGAGGCCTCAGAAGGAAGCCACCAGCAATCTTACACACATCTCAGCCTCCCGCACCTGCAGGATCGACGTGGGTAACAAATATGTAAGGGAATGGCAGCTGGGCCACGGATGGCGCCCACATTCAGATTTGTAAAAAACGCTACCTGACAGCCGGCCCTCCGTGACTGCTGCTCTGAGGGCAGAATGCACACAGCTGAGATTCGGGAAAAAAAGACATTTAACGAAAGTGCCGCATTCCCCAGCAGAAAGATGCGACTCCCAGAGCTGCAGACAAGACACATGCAAGTTGGATGCTTCTGCAATAAAAAGAATTCACCCCGAAAAGGTTAGGCTACATCCTGATAGAGACTCTGAAGGTTGGTAAAGGAGAGCAGGAGGGGGGTGAGCTGAGCTCCCTAAGGTAATTCCACATGGGAAAGATCTGCCAAACTCGGGACGCCAGTAACGATGTTGGCATCATGGCCTTTACTGGAGCAAAGAAAGACACGTCCAAGGTGCTGGGCTCATAAAGTCAGGAGGCTAGAAGAGACCAAGGGTTTTTATTCTGAGATGTTTATCCATTTACAATTTACTAGGGAACATGGTAGAATGATACACACTCCTGCCTGTTAGTACCAAGCGCTAAGTCCTCATCTTCCTAGGCCGGAGTTACGTCAGCTGTTCAGTGAAGTAGGTGAACCAAGATGTTTTCTGAGCTCCTGCCCAGTTATTAAAAAGGGATCATGTCTGTGAAAAATACTTGGGCGCTTCAGGAATCCGCTTTGCCCTCGCGTCTTCTGAAACAGCTATCATAGCTAAACTAGCACGGCCAATGGCCCCGTTGCTGGCCTGACGCGGAAATAACTCCCAGCCTTTCTTATTATCTCTGAGATAAAGATATCGTGTCACCTCTGGAGATAATGAAAATTAAGCACAAAATGGAGGTAAATCTTAGCAAAGAAAAGAGACTGCGGGGAACTACTCCTGCCTTCTTCCTTCCCCGCTGCTAGACCAGCTGAAGGCACAAGGAGCCAGACCTAGAAGAGCTGACACAGGGGGAAGTCAGGCGAGAGATGAATGTGCCGCTGTGGTCTGTGTGGTCTGCAGGGGAGCGGAGTGGGCTAGAGATTTGGCTTCTAGACCGAACCCTTCCAGTAACCATGGAACTCTGGGCAAGATATTTAGCTTTTCCTAACTCATTTTTCTATTTGTAAAACAGCAAAAACTCAACATGTTTCTCCTACCTCAAAAATGTGCTCAGTACAGAAATAAGTGTGTGAAAAATGTGAGTTGCAGGGAGGAAAGGTACATACAATAGGCGATAATGGGGCACGTCGGTGACAAAGAACACCGATTTAACGGTTTAAAACAACTCACTGTCATGATGAGTGAGGGCCAGCGGGAGGGAGACTCACTCAACCAGGGTGAAAAAGGGGGTCATCTATAGGGAACAGCAAGGGTTATGGCTGAGACGGTGAAGCACAAATGTGCGCAGCCTCGGTCTACCCAGTGGGATGAACTTGGCGAGACTGGGCATGAAAGGCAGACATGGCTCATAGGCTCCCGGCTTGTCAACAAATACATCTTCTGTCTTCCTTCCATTTCTTCATTTCTCCCTTCTTTCCTCCTCTTTCTCCTCTTCGCTGTCCCTTCCTTCTATACATTCAAAAATTTTGCAGTGAGGGCTCATGTAGACACAGCCCTCAAGTTGCTTCCACGTCTAGTTACCTAACAAACGACGGAAGTTCCATAATCAGTCATTGTGACGAAGGGAGCACCTGCATTCTCAGGTGCCGGGTCTTTGCTCACAGCGTCGCCCCTGGACGCACAACGGCTGTTCCCAAAGAAGCTACAACAGGGTCCCCGGGAAGAGACGGCCCAGACAGATACACCAGCCAATCAGGAGCTGAGTCCCATCTCGAAGTTTTCTCTTTTATATGTGTGCCCTTCTTCCTCGAGCCGCCTTTGCTTTTCCAATTCGCAAAGTAAGAGGGAGAGCCATATACTGACTGCCGATTACAGCGGACATTTTTTCATTTACTATTGCCTGGAGCCTAAGTATTTATTTCTTAGAAAAATAATCCTGTAGTGCTGAACAGAAGATAGACGATAGAGGCCAAAGGGCCAGTTAGGAGGATGGTAACAAGGGCGAGATGACGAGGGATGAGATGAAAACAAACTATGAGGATGGCTTCTATGCGGGCAGGTATTTCTGTTCAAAATGCCATATTCGAAATTCTCTCTCGATATAAAAGTTAGGTTCTACTGGTGCATAATTAAGAAAAAAATATTTCAAACCATGGAATATTGAATCCCATGACCCCAAACCAGCTATTCCCAACCCCGCCCCCCCCCGCCCCCGCGCCAAATCCCACCAAATTCAGAGGCTAAATTATAATATATCTATAACAATGGTAAATTATAGCTTGAATTTTTGCATGTTCCAAGCATTGCACTAGGTGTTTTACAGTCTTCTAAGGCCCTGGCAACAAGGCAGGCATTATTACATCCACTTTCAAAAGGAAGAAACTGAGATTCAGAAAGTTAACTCACATACCCAGGGTCGTGTAAATGGTTAAGCAGAGGTAGGACCCAAACACGGGTCTGTCTGCCGCCAGAGTCTGTGCTTATTCGATTACGCTATACTGTCTCCATGTTTATCTTTATAAGTTTTCGCTGGCATTCCTTTTTGCTTCTAGGAATGCCGGTTGAGGGGGGAAAGAAGCAACAAAAAGAGCATCAGCCCGGGTGGGGAAAGGGGCACAAAAGGCCTGTAAGAAGGAAGGAAAGAAAACCGCACCACTTCCCATACTGTGGTCCTCGCTTCAGGAGGAAATAGATGCGACAGCTGCTGCGTTTCACAAACCCATTGACTTGATGCTCCTTCCTGCTGCCGTAAGGAGAGGCACTAAGAAGAGGGGAGAGGGAGCTGGGAGCTGCTGCTGGAAGGGACCTGAGTGCCGCACCCCTGACGGCTCAGCCCCTCCGACTGGGAAGGCTGACCGGGATGCCTCGGCCATCACTGACCGCCCCGGCCCGTATGCGCCTCCGCCCTGAAGCCTGCTCCCATCTCTTGTCTCTTCCCCGCTTATTCTGATGACCACAATGCAAGCAAACAGCAGAAGGCCTGGGACTCATCTGGATAACATTAGCTGCTTGGGTTATGCTATTTTCAGTTATGAAATATGGTATCGCGAGATCACATTGAGTTTTATTCTCTAAGCCACTTTTTTTTTTTTTTTTGGTTAGGAGCAAAACAAAATGGATTATATATTTAAAGCAGAGGGAGGAAAAGAGACATACCATTCTAGAAATGTCTAGCAAGCAAATACCCCAAGAATATTTATCCAAATGGTTACCCTGGGATAGCCGAGGAGAAACGTGAAAGCAATTTTCTTGGCTATCATCACTTTAATATGAAATGTAAACCCCCAATACAACCTCAGGCACATTCCTCAGATTTGGAAAAAGTGCAGTTGTGTTTGGGGAGCGTGGCCGGAGCCCTTACCTGGCATGACCATGGTTGGTGGGGCAGCGGCATCGGTACTAAGGCAGAGACGCCCACCTTTGGCCAATCTGTCGCACAGCAAGGTGATGTGTTTCTTCAGCCGGCTGGTATCTTTGGGCAGGTGCAGCTGGCTGCTGAGGTTCAAAGCCTGCTCCTTTGAACTCTTCGATAGGCAGGTCTTCAAGAGGTGGGAGATGGCGGCATCCACCATTTCTTCCCAGCCCTGGATGCAAAAGCCAATTTTGAATATATGCAAAGATGATAAATGAGCAAAGCTGACACTTTACTGTTAACTAAGTTATAAGATCATGAGGGTTTATGTCCAAGCATTGAGGGATTTCTTGAGAGCTTGGTGTCCAGGATATTCCAGACCAATGTGGCTTTGAATTCTAGCTCTGCCAGCTGTTTGACCTTGAGCAAGTTATTTAATTCCTCTTGGCCTCATCCTCGTCTACAAATGGGAATACTAATAGTCTGGATGTCCAAGAGCTGGGGTGATTACATGAGATGGTACATGAGAAGTGTTTTGTCCTGAGCCAGACATGAGCAATCAATAACAACAATATCATCTCAGGTGTAGATCTGTTTGATGACCTGGAGGGGGAAGCTGCTAGGATTATAGTTCACTCTGCCTTATCTTTCAGCTGGAGGGGAACTGGTCAGGGCAGGGAGGACCTCTGGATATGCTGGGGAAGACCAGAATGGAGGAAAACACCTGCTGTGTCTCTCAGCTGCTGGTCCCACAACCTTGGGGTTGCAGGCAGAAGTGTAGAGTAGCTTATTTCAAGAGAGATTTTCTGAGCACAAGGCTATCTAGTCCCACTCTAATGTGCAGGTGACACAAAGAAAGGAAGTGGGAGATTGAGCCCACTGTTGCTGTGGTCAGGGTGGCTGTGATGCAGCAAAGGCCTCGTGAAGTTCCCGACACCATAGCCCAGTGAAGGCTGCAATTCCAGGAATCCTGGTGCTGGGCAGGGTCCTCTGCACTGCCAATGGGGCACCAGCACCGGCAGGACTGACAAGGAGGCGCCACCCTCAGGTAACAACAGGACAAGAAGCGGGGGGTGGGGGGGGTCAGCTCATGAGCTCTCCCTGGGCATCCCCAGGAGGTTCCAGAGATAACTGGGCAAGATTTGACGGGGTCTGGAGGTGCTAAGCAGTAGAGGAGCATGAATGCAATCTGGGTATTGCCGCCCATGTGACTCTGTCTGTGCCCAGAGACAGAGCACCATGGGCCTGGCAATCAAAGTGAAATTACAAAGGAAGACAGCAAATGACCTTATTCTCACAGAATAATGCACAACAGTCCAAGCCCCTGACATAAAAGGTGAGAAACCTGAGACTTAGAAAGGAGGAGCCCCAGGGAGACACTGTTAGTACCGCTCCATCCTCAACCTTAGCAGTTAAGCCACCTTTCAAATACGCAAATCGGATGAGGTTACTTCTAAGCTTCAACTCCTAATGCCAAATGCTCAGTCTAGCACTTCAAACCCTTTCTGCTCCAGCTCCAGCTCCATGTGATTCTCTTCCTATCCCCCTGCACCCACTGTCTCACCCAGGCCTCTGCACATGCTCGGGTCTCCCACTGCAGTGCCTTATCTCCACTCTTTACTGGGCCAACTGCCACTTACAACTCAGCTCAGGCACTGCAATCCAGGGACTGCACTAGCGGGCCCTCTTCAGGGCTCTGAGGCCTGATGCACACAGCTCCATCACAGCACTGCTCACACTGTGCCATGGTCGCTGCCTGCATGTGTGGTTCCCCATCACAGTGCCTAGAGTTCTCTGCGCTCCCCGCCCTCAGCACTGAGCTTAGTAAACAGGGGGTGGCCCAGAAATGTGTTTGCTGGACCGACGGATGGAGAGCTATAGAACCAGGTCTCAGAGTTGGGAGGACGTTGGAGATCTTTAGTCCAGACTTGAAGGATTTGACGAGGATACTTTTGACAACAGCAGCTATCTGCCTAGGCCTGGCTGTCTCCACCATCCAGAATGACTACTTTTGGAGGCAGTTAAGTACTTTTGGGGACCTGTGTAACCAGCAGAAAGTTATTCCTATACTGAGCCAAAATTTGCCCCACCGGCCCCTGTTCTGCCCTCCAGAGTCATGCAGAATAAATCGAACCTCTCTCCTACATGACAGCCCTTTATATCTGTGAAGACAGCAATTCTGTACCCTCTCATCCAGAATAAACATCCCGGTTCCTCCAGCTCTTCCTTATATAAACACAGGTTCAAGTTTTCTCTCTATCCTAACCACTTGTCTTTGAATAAGCTCCAATTTGAAACACTTAAAAATTTATACAGCTAACTAGAGAACCCCAAACTGACCCCACGCTAGCAGGCTGGGGATGGGACTATAGGGTAGGACACAGCTGTCCCTCCCGCCCATTTACTGGGAGCTCTCCCCGCCAGCCTGGCCTCTGGGCGCCTCTGCTCTCTTGGCAGCTGCACCGCACACTTAAATCACAATGAGCGGACAGATGGCTAAACCCCAGGCCTTCTCCGCCTCACCACACATCTCCCTTCTAGGAGTCTGCTGTTGGTTCTTTAGATCAAAGTGCAGACTATATACTCGTATATTCACTAGAGGACTTCCCACTGCTTGCCAAAATCAGGATTTTTTTTTAACTCTATTGACCCATTACAGATGCCACTAGGCAAATTAGGAAACAAATTACCTATTTTAGATTGATCTTGAAAATCCTTTCAAGAGATGTCAAAGACTCGAAAAACAGCTTCCTACCCCAAACCATTAAAGAATAAAAAACCATTCGTTACTACAAAGATATCTCTACACAACTATCGATGTCTAAACTAGACAAATATCGAAAGTTGTATTTGTATTTCAATAACAATGGGAAGAGGTAAATTAAGACAAAATAGTAACGAAGATGTCTTTGGAGAGGATGTATTTTCAAGTTGCTTTTGGAGCCGTTGACGAAGACATCTGAGTATAAGAAGGAAAGAGCCTTGGTATACGATTTGGCATTTGTGTGCTCCATGGTCATTTCAGCATTGAAACAGTTCCTACTATTTTACAGACTTCATCTAAGCAAACTACTGTTTTCATAAGTAGGTTACAGTAGCATATTAGATAATTTAAGTAGATATGGCATTTAGTTCATATAGAGAAACTGCAGAATTTCCTTTCCTACTGCCAACTTGCAGATCAAGTAAAAAACCATGTCATGTTTAGGTACTTGGCATGGATATTTCTTTAATATAATGAGGCATGAGGCCAATACTTCAGAGAGATTGCTACTAAAACACAGGGTTATTATTTGGAGGATCTGAATTGCTACATAAAACTCAAATATGATAATGAAAAGGAATGTTTATGAGACAAAAGAAGAGCCTTTAAAATGAGAGTTTCATTAAATAAAAATGCAATGTGATAATTCACTGGTGACATATGTAGCATACTTACCTGATGAAATGTGTAACAAAACCATGTGGAAATCTAGAAACTTAAGTGTGAGAAGTACCTTAAAGCTGAGCTATTTTAATCACCTAAAACCTCTTTGACAAACAGAGTTTAGCCACAATACAAGCAGAAAGCACAAGGTTGCTTCAAGCCAACCTACTTTGATCCTATTTTTTTTTAATGTTTGCATTCATTCACTTATTTATTTAATCATTGGTTATTTAGGCTACTGGACATAACAGTCAATTTCACTGGTTTACTTATCTGTAAGTTAAACCATCATTTCTTTAAAAAATTGTTTTTAATTTATTTTTCAATTACAATTGACATATTAGTTTCAGGTGTACAACATGGTGTTGAGACATTTATATACCTTACAAAGTGTCTGATCCTCTTTTTGTAAGCTTATGTTTTGCATTTGACCTGTACTCCCATTCTGACCCCAATGCTTTAGATAAAGAAACACAAAGTAGATTACTAGAATTATCTTGAAACTTGATCCTGGATAGCCATGTTCAGTTTTAAAACAAAACAAAACATTAATGATGTCCCACAGAGCCAATCACCTTGATGAAGCATTAAAGTTTGCTTCAGGCAAAAACTTCCAGTCAGGTGCACTATTCAGTAGCAACTTAAAAAAATAAGAAATTAAGACTGGAAAATCAAATTGATGATGAAGGTTCCAGAGGAAAGCTGCTTCTGGGGATGGTAAAGTAGACAGTTTGGAGGAATCCTCCCACTGAGACTAGATAGGAAAATATTTAAAAGTCATTTCTTTGAAGGTACAGGAGAGCTAACAAGATAGTGATTGCCACGTCCAAAGCCAGGGGACAATGGAGGCCCAAGAAAGTGAGTCCTGAGTTCAATGCTGTTTTTCCCCTGAGGTCATTAGCGACCTCCCCTGACATGTAGCCCTGATCTCTCACTTATTCGCCATCACACGCTGCCTTACGCTTGCTTATTTACCTCCATGGAAGAGGTAGCATGGGTCATGAAAAGTGCATTGGATTAGAAGTCAGAAGACCTAGGCTGAATTGTGGCCCCTTTTCCTTAGAAAGCTGTATGTCTGTAGAAACATTATTTAGCAATCTGGGTCTCAGTTTCCTCATCAGTTAAAAACCAGAAAAACAATTTCCCTTGCCAGGTGCTTGTAGATTTAATGAGACATGTTTAGCACTTGTAGGTACATAATTCCATGCTGTTACTCTTATTTGTGAGATTCTCTCTAAAAGTTTATCTTTTCTGGGCTGCTTCCCATGAATAGTAACAGCAGCAGAAATAACAGCTACAACAGCAGCAAGAGTAAAAACTATTTAGGGCCTCATGTGTTAGAAAATGTGCTGAGGATTTCATAAATAATATTTTGGCTAATTCTTTTTTTCTTGTCTTTAAATATTTTTATTAAAATATAATTGGCATACAATATTATATTCTTTTCAGGGATACACCATAGTTATTCAACATTTATAGACCTAAAGAAGTGATTACCATGACAAGTCCAGCAAACATCTGACACCGTACCACGCTATCACAATATTATTGACTGTATTCCCTAGTCTGTACAATACATTCCCATGACTTATTTGTTTTAAACCTGGAAATTTGAACCTCTTATTTCCCTTCACCTTTTTTCCTCACTTTTAAAATTTTTCAACTACAGTTGACATTTGACATTATTTTATATTAATTTCAAATGTACAGCATAGTGGTTAGACATTCATATAATTTAAGAAGGGACCCCCTGACTAGTCTAGTACCCACCTGGCACTATAGGTAGTTACTATCATATTATTGAC